GCGGATTGCTGAGCAGGAATAGGATGGAATAGATGGCAGGTCATCCGCGTGTCTTAATGCTTTTTGTTGCTTCATAGCGTTATGAAAAAAAAAACAACCAACAGGGTGAATGTATGGTCTCATCTCCTCCATTCTTTTGCAGGGTCATGTTGAATAACTGTTTATATTGAAAATACTCAGGTGCAAACTTTGTCTTGTATAAGCTTGTATCGAGGTTATTGGATTCTACTCTCCCTACAGATAGGCCATGCTTAATAACTGCTGGAGATGGAGGATGGATTGCTACGTTGGCTGTCAGTGCATCCACACAGCTTGCTTGTGGAGGACCTTACCATTTGAGAACAGGAGGACAGTGTCCTGAAAGGATGTATTTGATATGTCAATAGAAACACAGTTTTTCTGTCCTTCAGTGTGTGCCTAGATTCTCAGCCTTTATTCTCCTCAGGTCTTCTGGAGGCCCTCCGTAATAATTGCTGAGGCTGGCTGTTTTTTCTGAAGTCTGAATGGCTGCTAGTGCCTCCTGTGCTTTCCATTCTTCCTTTCACTTCTTCCTCATTAACAACGTAAAACCCAAACATGCAACCTTTGTACCCAGTCCCTTCACCCCATAAACAATAATGCTAACTACATACATGTGTGCGCAAGCTTGAAGCAGCTTTTATGCAATGCCAGTTCAGAGCTTGGATTGGGAAAAATCCTTATGGTGGGGTTCTGCAGCACTGACTGCTCTTCGTGGCTCTTTGGATTTCTGGGATCAGCTGAACTGTGCTCTTTCTTGATGCTCAGGTAGACACCATGAAGCTGAGGCTAGATGATGACCAAAAGTAGACCAAGTATGAAGTTTGTATTGGACTACTGTGGTGTCTCTAAGTTGGACTTATTTGATAGGAAAACTGATCTTCTGCTCTTTTCTTTTTCTACTGACCTTTATCTCTTTTACTTGGGCAAATTTAGAAGTGTTCTGATTCTTCCATGTCTTGGGGAGGTCTCACCAGGATAACAATTGTACTTTCTGGCTTGCTTAATTAATTTTACAATGCAATGAATATAGTAGGATTGAGGCAAAAACAGTCGGGGGAGGAGGGGGAATGGAGAAATAGGTGCATCTCCAAAGGGAAACCCATCTTCTCATTCCTTGAGACAGAGTAGGATACATTTACGGAATGTAATTAAAAAGGCCCTCTGACATCAGGAAATTTTAAAATGCTGTTAAATTAAACAGCTTTCAAATGATGACAGAACAAATGAATAGGTGGACAAATGAAGTCTATATGGAGTAATGGAGGAGGGAAAGAACACACAATGTTTTCTTCATTTTCCTTCCCTTCTTGTAGGAAGACTGGCAGTGACTTAACGAAAAAAAAAAAAGTTTTGCAGTGTGGAAAACGTATGTAACAGGCTTCTGGAAAGAAAAACAGAAGATAGATATTAAATGAAAAATGTTGTATAAGTTCTAAACATTAAAACTGAGTATTTGAAAGTTTGCCTTCCCTAGTGAAATGAATGGGGTTTAGCAGAGTTAAGATTCTGTGCCTGAAGGTAGGGATGTGAGATGTTGACTGTTAGGAAATTCTCTCGTGCAGCCACATGGATTACACCCCAAACGTCTGTCTAGGAAATAGTCACTGCACTTTAAAATTAGGCAGGCAGCTGTGTGTAGTGTATATTAATGCTGTCCTGGTGAAAGAGCAAATACTTGAAAATTATGCTAGAAATGTTGAGTAGCAAATAATTCTCTAGTTGCAGAGACCCTTCCATTCATGTCTGTGGCTTCTTGCAAGGAGCCACAAAGTGGCTGCGAGTTTCTCTTCATTCCTGTGTGTATTTTTAGAAATGGAGTACCAGACCATAGATTAAGAAGAAACTTGTGTTCAGGATGTGTGTGGTGTAGAGAACATATTTTCATTGTACAGTAAGCATTAGCCTGTGAAAGAAATGCTGGTGATTACTTTTAATCCTATCTCAGGAATGTTTCTGAAATCTGTTTGTGCAGTTTAAAAACAAAAAAAAAAAACCAAAAACAAAAAAACAAACCAACAAAAAACCACACCAAACCATGAGAAACTGGAGGAGGGAAGAGAAATGGATCGTTGGATCATGGCTGAATAGCGCAGCTGAAAGATCAGAGAGATTGTTAGGATGGCAGAGAAGATGGACAGTGTGGTAAATAGCTGCAGCTCACAGAGGCACAGTCCTACCTGAATAGCTCTGGCTGTTGCACTCTCTTCCAGGCTCCTGAATATTTTATCAGCAACAAAGGAAGGACTGCAAGGCGCTTTACAGTCCTACTAGCAAGATGAAGCTTCCTGACATTCCTCCTGCTTCTGCTGATGAATAAGAAAGCTTATTCATTCCCAGAGACCTGAACTGGGAGGGAGGAATGGCAGGGATTTCTTTCTGTTTCTCTTCTTTGCCTGTGTTGTGGCTTAGAAGAGGAGCAAAACCAGGTTCAAAAAGCCCAGAGGCATGCCGTGTATACAGGGAGGGGTTCTGTAAATGATCTGAAGTCAGTGTTAGTCAACAGGGTCAAAATAGCTCTGTTGGTGTAGTGCCAGGACAAACATGCATGATGCACATAGTGCTATATGCAGCACTCAGACACGCTTCTGGCATGAAGCTTTTTACAGGAAATGTAGTCAAGAGGTAAAAACTCCTTTCTCTTTTGACCACTTTATTTTCTACTCTAGCGTTACTGACCTACTTCAGGCCAGATTTGTTGCTGCAGTCTTTCTGAGTCATGGTTGTAGTAACAGTCTGTAGGGGAGCATGACTGTCTGAGCCTACTGTAAGTAATGTGCATGTGAAATTACCTGTTTAAAAATAACATGGAATCTGCCACTGCAGCAGCTGGCTTATAGAAGAAATGACTCTCAATCTAATGAGCAGTATCAGAAAATCCAATTGTAACCAGAAGAGCAGCTGTTACTCTGAAATTAAACACAGCCTCAGTCATCCTGCTTCTCTGTGGTGTGATTTCTCACCCGTAACATACTTTGTTTTGGAGTGGTGTAAATCCATCATCCTCTAGCAGGGTTTTCAAGAGGGACTCTGGATTTTCTGTATGGTGCCTGGAGTTGATGCTTAGGTTTGCATGAAGCTCCAGATCTGAATTCTGATTGAGACTGCTCTCAGTTCAGAAATGAGATTGTCATGTAGATGTCCCTTTTTGCTTGCTGCTTTGTCATGCAGGAGGAAAATCAGAGATGTGCTCTGAATACATGCTGCTTTACGGGAGATTCAAACACTATTTTGTCTGTGAGCTTGCCTCATTTTATTTCTTGAGAGGTAAATGCAGTTTCCCAAGTATCTGCAGTTGCATAACTCTTAATAACTGTACGTCTGCCAACTACCAGAAATGCTTACATGGGGAAAAAAAAATAATATTACAGCAAGCTAATTCTTGCTGTCTTCAGCAGAACTCAGTGGGAAAGGGGAAAGAACACCCATTGTCGGATGCACAGCCAGCTCTTTGCAGACTACCAATGTGTTCTCCCTGGACCCACCCCTGCTCTGCTCTTCATAAATCCCAGAGTAGTGTTAACACAGGACCATTAAGACACCTTTTGTTAGAAGAACGTTGTGACAACTGACTTTTGAAGTGGCTCAACAATCTTCCCTTTATTCCTCTGTGGTAAAATTAACATCCCCAGAAATATGCCAAGCGCTGCTACTTGAAAGAAAAAATTTTCCAGTTCAGGCTTAGCTGTAACTTCCTCAGAGTCTGATTTCATCCTGACCTTGCTATTAAAGAGAAGTAGTTATGGATAGCATTGATCTTTCTGACAGCCCATTTATAGCTGAAAAGTCATCATGCCAAAGTCATGATGCAAGTTACTCAGAGAAACCAACCAACCATTCCCCAAATGTTTAACTTCGGAAAGTAGCACCTTTGTATCTACACTACGTGCTCTGTGCTGATATTTACATTGTGAAAGCAGTGCTTCTAGAAAGCAGCCCTGGCTTTTGAAGCTGTCAGCCTAAGGGATTTATCAAGAGCTTACGATGTTGTCTCAGTGCCTAAAGTCTGTGTTTTAGGTTAGTCTTTCAAAATCATGGAAGCTGTCAATTAAGGTTTGTACTAGACCTGCAGTTCCTAGATGGTAGTGAAAGATGTACTTCATTTTAAATATAATTTCCAACTGAATTGTTCTTCTCAGAAAATACAGTAACTCTGTGCTACTTTTTTTTAAATTTTTTTTTAGTGTGACAGGATCAACTTGTAGAATAAAACCTGTGATGTTTACGGGGTGGCTGTTAGAAACTCCTCTTGAAGCTGAAATAAGAGGTCTTGTCCTAGGCAGAGCAGACAAGGAAACAAAAGCAGGATCTTTGCTGTCTTTGGGTTGTCATAGCATGAGCCTGGGGCAACACAACGAAAGCAGAAATACACATAAGATAGGTAGCACTAAGGGAGGAGAGAGAAAAAGAATGGGAGTTGCGTGCATCCGTTTGTATACCAGCATGGCTAATATGCTGGTAGAAAAGGACTTGGAATAGATCAAGTGAAGTTAAACCAGTGACAGCTGAGGAAAGTGATTGGGAATAAATCTTAAAAACTGGTCATAGATCATGCGAACTTCATGAATCTTGTGAACTTTACTCAAGGTGCTAATGTGCTTTCCAGTTGGAGTGAGATGGGGCTTCCTATTTTTGAAAGACTATACAGTTGCCAACTACTCTTGATAAGAAATCTACTTAACTGTAATCAATGTGGCAATTAAATTTCCATGGGGTTCTTTCTAAGCCTTAAAAGGCTGTTACTTCGGTGGAAGTACAGTAAGTTCTACATTACATCAATATAGCAGTTTGCACAGTTTATGTAAAACATGAACTCCAACTATCAAACCTTTGCCATGGTATACTTTTGAGAGCGCAGCACTGCTGGATGTTAAAATGTCTTCAAACACAGGTTTCACCTCAACGCTTTACACAAACATGAGACAACTCTGTGTAACTGCTTCTGTGTCTACAATATTTTACAATTTATTTTCTTTTCTTAGCTTTATCTGCAGGCCAGAATGAAAGGAGACTGGGCAAGACTCGTACGTCCTACCATACAGTTTGGTCTGATTGCTGCATCCATTTATGTGGGTCTGTCCCGTGTTTCTGATTACAAACATCACTGGAGTGATGTTTTAACAGGGCTCATCCAAGGCGCACTCGTAGCTATACTCATTGTAAGTAACTCCTGAACTGTGTACGAGTGTATCAAATGTTTGTTGGGCAGAACTGCAGAGTGGTAGGCAGCTCTGTTTGGAGGAAAGACAACCAGAGGGCTGGAGCACCTCCCCTGCAGAGACAGGCTGAGCGAGCTGGGCTTCTTCGGCCTGGAGAAGAGATGGCTGTGGGGTGACCTATTGCAGCTCTCCAGGACCTAAAGGGAGCCTGCAAACAGGAGGGGATTCAATTCTCTGCAAGGGTAGATCATGACAGGACAAGGGGAAATGGTTTTAAGTTGAGGGAGGGAAGATTTAGGTTGGATGTCAGGTTGTGGATGCCCCATCCCTGGAGGTGTTCAAGAGCAGGTTGGCTGGGGCCCTGGGCAGCCTGGTCTGATATTAAATGGGGACGTTGGTGGACCTGCCTGTGGCAGAGGGGATGGAGCTTGATGATGCCTGAGGTCCCTTCCAACCCTGGCCCTTCTGTGATTCTATGAAAGCACACCTGTCTTTCCTTTTGAACACTGCTGGAGAAGGAAAATAACTTCTTGGACTGGATGACTTCTTAAACAAGGTGCAGCAGTAATTCTGAGGATAGTGAGGCAGTCTCTGGGCCAGTGATGAGATGGGGCTGTTTTGTCTGTTACACAAAATACAATTGCTCGAGCCTAAGAGCTTTTCAACCAACTAGGATGGAAACAGACAACTACAGTAACCCAATGTGGTATGCATGTTTAAAGGAATTCAGAAAAAGATAACAGAGGCAGAGTTGGTCCAGCAGACACAGGGGATGTGGGTGAGATGTGTATCAGGGAGGGAGTTCTGTGAGCGAAGACTGTTTTAAACAGCTCTGGAGAAATGTGACTTAAGTGATACTTAAGAGAAAAGCAGTGCCTGTTGAACCACCTCCACCTCTCTGATGTTTAAATCTCTTTAGATTTTGCTTTTTAATATTGAGCGTGGAATTTATCTTCATGTTAATGGATAAAAATGGGTAAATACTTTGTTTCAAAGAGGAGATTAACACTACTTTATTCATTCAGGTTGTGTATGTGTCTGACTTCTTCAAAGTGAGAGGATGTACATTTCAACCAAAAGAAGATTCCCATACAACCCTGCATGAGACACCAACAAATGGAAATCACTTTGGCAGCAATCATCAACCATGAAGAATGATTCACTTACTTCAACTGTCTTGGTCTCTGAAAGGAAAAGAATTTCACCAGTCTAATTATGTAATATAAGTAAATGCCTTTAAAGGACTGCTGCTGCTCTTGGATGCTCACTTTACCTGTATATAAGTAACACTAACAGTTCTGTATATCTAAACTTTACATTGCTGTTGGTTCAAGCTCTTGCTTTAAAAAAAATAATACCAAAAGATAGTAAAACTGTAAATTTTTATTATGAATGTGGTAACACTCATTACGTACACTGCTGTTTGTACATGCCTTGTTGAAATTATTGTGGTTTAAATACAATTAAAACAATGTCTTGACTCAAGATGGCATGGGAAGCTTATGGACTTTGTTACAGGTAAAGGCTCGCTGCAAACACAATATCTCTCTTGATTTTTGTAATACCTATAAAAAAAAAAAAAAAAAAAAAAAAAGGAAAGCATTACCTACCACTACAACTGAAACAAGCACTTCTGCTACGAACACCATTACAGTCTGCAGTACCAGAGGAAGTGACTTGGGACTTAAGGCACTGTGTGTTCATTTTCAGTCAGGCACTTAGAAAGCCTGACTTCTTATGTAGCACTGGGTTAGCATATATGCTAACAGGTGTTATTGCATAGGGAGAGCAATGCTACCCCTTGCCTTGAAGTCAACAACAGAGGTTTATGTTCCCAAGCTCCAGCACGAAGAACATCAAAGCTTGCCTTATATTTTGCAGAATACTTATTCTTGAAGTGAAATACCTACCCTCTGCAAACTTATTTTCCAGCTCTGTGTTTCCAATTGCTTTTGCTGCCTGACACATTTGCCGAAGCAATTCTTCTAGCCTTCTCATGCAACGAATTATGCTACCTGTATAAGAAGAGTGACAGATCACTTTGGTGAAGTGTTGGCTCGGGAGATGCAAACAAAATAATTTCTAGACCATAACCTAATATCCACATTAGTTTATTGCATTTCAAAAGATTTTCTTCAAAAAAAGATTTTTCTTCAAAAAATTTCAGCTCAAGCTGCACAAAATAATCCCAGTACTAGTGCTTGTTTACCAGCATACAAGTAGTGTGCCCTCTGTTCCTTTCTTCTAGAGTCACCTTTTATCTAGAGTCAAATTACTGTACACAAAATAACTGTTCAAGTAATCATAGCTAGGATAGGATATTTGCCCTGGACTTACTTATTGTATCATCTAGTGAAAAAACTTTATAGACTAAGAAGCTGTCATGAGAGTCAGAACAGGGATATTAGGAACAGCTATTAGGGATAATAAAAGGAGGCTTCTCTTCTAAAAAAAGTATCTGTGTGATGTCAGTTTCTACAGCACAAATAGCTTGTGTGAGAGTCGCAGTTTGCAAAAGCCACTGCAATGACGTGATGTGGAAAAACATGGAAGCCAGTGGGCATCGGCACATCATGGGTACCTCCCCTGAGCACAGCCATGCTGTGTTCCTGTATGCCTCCCATAGCTGCTGCTCATCTCCATTTACTGCCCTTCCAGGAAATAGTCACCTACAGGGACCATTAACTGGGGTGTTGCAGGCTTTGCTTTTTCTTTTTTTTTTCTTTTTTCTTTTTTTTGGTGTAAGAAAACCCCTGCTGTTTGAGACTAAATGACTATTGTCTGTAGTTTCTTGCACAAAACAAAAGTCAATCTGGAGCTGATTAACAGGGGTACTTGGTTCACTTTAACCCATCTTCCCCGCTGCTTTAAAAAGCTTCTCTAATCTCCATTTCTTTCCAACACACACATTTCAACTTAATGACAACTCATTTTCATTAACCCATTACCACTGCTCCTAGCTGTGGCAGGCACGCTGGGGCTTGTGCTGTAGCCACCTACTTACCACACATGCAAGCATTCACACTGCTGGCAACTGCAGTTGAAGCTGAAATTTGACCATCAGTTCTGATAAAATAACAAAAGGCAATCTTTCTTTAAGGCTTCCTCTATAGCTTATGATAGCAGTACCATCAACTCGAGCTTTCTGCATAGAAAGTTCTGCAAGTGCCTGTTAGCCTGGGTGGTGGCACAACACTGAACATGAAACTTTCACCCATGAAGCACAGAGTCTTCCCAGAAAACACTTTTAATTGGTTTGGGAGCTTATGAAAAGCCAATTTAAAAACCACAAACATGGTGTCTTCCAATAGACTCTTAACAGCTGGCCTATTTTCTGCTTCTTTACTGCAATCAGCGCAGAGCAGGGAAGTTGGAATTCCCTGTAATAGCAGGATCTCTTCACTGATAATTGCATGTTACCTGCAAGGCAGAGAACCCTTTAATAATCCATCACACTACATGGTAACAATCTCAAAGTAAGGACTTTTACTTATTTACTTAATATTTACGCTTTTCACAGAATCCTAAGAGTTGGAAGGCACTTCACTGAAGGCCATCTAGTCCAACTCCCCTGCAAAGAACAGGAACACCATGGCTAGATCCGGTTGTCCAGGGCCTTATCCAGCCTGCCCTTGAAAGTCTCCAGGGATGGGGCATCCACATCACTAGGCAGCCTGTTCCAGTGCCTCACCACCCTCAGTGTGAAAGAGATTTTCTGTATATCTAACCTTAAATATACTCTCTGAGCTTGAAACCATTTCCCCTTGTCCTCTCGCCACAGACCCTGCTCAAGAGTCTGTCCCATTCTTTCCTGTAGCTCCCCTTCAGATACTGAAAGGCTGCTATCAGGTCACCTTGCAGTCTTCTCCAGGCTGAACAGCACCAGCTCTAAGCCTGCCCCTGTAGGAGTGAGTTCCATTCCATGGATCAGTTTTGTGGCCCTCCTCTGGACATGCTCCAACAGATCCATGTCTCTCCTAACAGGTCTATGTGTCTCCATTTCATTAAAATCACTACATCAATTCGGATGATGACTGCAAACTCTCCTGTGATTGCATTTAAAGTGATAGAAGATGTATGATGTGCTTTCCATCCTTCCGGACAACGCACAGAAAACCAGCAAATTAAGGTAAGACTCATGCATCCCCTGCTGTGCAAATTGAACTTCTCAAAACAGACCTGTATGAGTTAATTCTGGAGAAGGTAGCGCTATTCCAGTCAACAGAAAGCACGCCAAAATGACCTGACAGAGATGACTAACAAAGAAAATGCTGGTGCCCCAACGCATTATTCTGAGCAGCCAAGAACTAACATAAAGACTCAAGCCAGTTACTGCATATTCCCCTTTCTATATTCCCTTTCTCAAAACGCATCTGCAGCCTCTCAGACCTTCTTTTCAATGCGAGGTGTTTGCTGAATGCAGAATCCAAGACTGCTGGGATTCCTGTTACTCACAGGTATCCTGGCCTTAGGAAGTTCCTGGGACTGTGCAGTGGAATTTGTTTTAAGGTCTCCCATTTGCAACCACATACAAACATGAAAATGGAACTTCAGGAAGGCAAGACAGCAGTTAACGGTAACAACTTCATAAAGGATTTCCAGTATCAGTCCTTATACATGCAATTATAATACAATGATTATTAATCCTATAATCCTTCACAACTTTCAACACACTTCATCAAAGAAAAAATTAGGTTTCTCATTCTGGTAGGACCGTCATTGAATGCTTTTTTTTTTTTTTTTTAGGAAGCAAATGGGCTCTAAATCGTTTTACTTTAAAAATAATGTAAAGTCCTAATTATGATTCCTGAAGAGACAGTTTCTAGCATTACCATTTTAGGAAACAAATTAGATGTAATCTCTCACCTGGGCTATGTTTTACAAACAGCCTAAACAGATGTGAATACCTCTCACTTCTATCACCACTAAGATAGCAGGAGGAACTTTCAACTTAACAAGCAAATAAATAGCTTAACTAATGAGCAGAAGTGCAAGAGCAGTACTTTTCTTCCTTAGCAGCACGCATTTGGAATATGGTGTTTTGCCCTAACAAGTCATTACCACTTTTTGCAATGGCTAGAATTTTTGAGATTCATGGAAAGATTTAAAAAACAGAGATATATCCTTTCTTAAGAGGCAGATTCTAAATCATTAGCAGTGTAACTGTAAGTTAAACTATATTGTAGAAAGTTTTTTCCAACTTTGTTTTAGCCACACGGATACTTGAATACATCAGAGTTCAAACAGTTTAACGACCTACTACAAAGACACTGAAAACTAAGATGTAGACACTTTTGTGTATCTGTTATCAGCCTAAAGAAGAACTGAACAACATACCTTCAAAGACATCAGTCATTTTGCAAATGTGAGCAAAGCTAGCCCCATTTGCCCATGTGTATACAACATCCATGAGGTTGGGTCTGAAAGAATTTAAGTAATTTTCTTCATCAATTTCCAGTTTTGCTTCTGCTGATACCCTGGCGATTCTTTTAGCACACTCCTTTAAAAGAAAATATTTAAAATTTACAAGCTTAAACAGACTAAGTGTTAAACCAATAGAAATACACATCAGTAGGTAATGGACACAAGTCAAGGTTTCCTTTCCAGCTGAGTAACAAAGTCACTCAGTATCAGAAACAAGACACTGATCACATTGTTATTTAAATCTGCCTGCACTAACAGCTTAGTGTTGTAAGCAAGCTTATACAAAGTTTCTAAAATGCATGCTTTAAATTAGCAGTAGGGATTATAGCAACTTAGATAAGTCATTACAACACACTGTAGAACCACACGCAATCAGTGCCAGCCAGGTGATGATCCAACACCACATCTTAGCGCGCACTTATTACACACATGCTTTGCTGGATCTCACTGCCCCTGCGCTCAGGCAGATCTCCAGGGCATTACCTGCATTTGTCGAAGTGGTCCTGCCAGCTGCTCTGTCAGTTTTGGCATTTCATTGGACTGAAAAAGAAAATATTAAATAACTTCATGCACTCCCATGTATTTCCTCTAAACCAAATTAGATGCAAAAGTAAAAGCTACCATGTGTGCTAACGTCATCCTAAATGATTTCTGTGACTTTCCAAACTTATTATCAAACACTCTTAATCTACTGAATTCCCCATGAACTCCTTTTCAAACCAAAGAGAAAACAAATCTTTCCTGTACATGACAAGTACAAAAAAAAAAGTACGTGCTTTCTGAGCAGTGACGGAATTTCTTCCATAAACTGTTGCACAACTTTGAACTGCAAAAATGCTCACCATTTACTACTTGAGCTGTTACAAACTTTTTGTTAAGAATATAAAAAGGAAACGCTTTTAACAAACAGTAGTGGTAATTTAAGAAAATACAGCCTTACAATTGCATCTACATTTTATGTTCTAGCTGTTCAGACATGAACACTACTGCTAAGCAAAACACAGCACTGGATCCTAGCTTTTAATTTTCTATTGCTTATGAGCAATGGCTTACTTTGGCAT